CTTCTTGTTTTGCTGTATAATTGTAGTCGAGATGTTCCGTTAGCGTGAGGCCTAGATATCGGTACTGGCTCGCTTCTTGTTTTGCTGTATAGTTGTAATTGAGATGTTCCGTTAGCGTGAGGCCTAGATATCGGTACTGGCTCGCTTCTTGTTTTGCTGTATAGTTGTAATTGAGATGTTCCGTTAGCGTGAGGCCTAGATGCCGGTACTGGCTCGCTACTTGTTTTGCTGTATAATTGTAATTGAGATGTTCCGTTAGCGTGAGGCCTAGATATCGGTACTGGCTCGCTTCTTGTTTTGCTGTATAGTTGTAATTGAGATGTTCCGTTAGCGTGAGGCCTAGATGCCGGTACTGGCTCGCTACATGTTTTGCTGTATAATTGTAATTGAGATGTTCCGTTAGCGTGAGGCCTAGATATCGGTACTGGCTCGCTTCTTGTTTTGCTGTATAGTTGTAATTGAGATGTTCCGTTAGCGTGAGGCCTAGATATCCGGTACTGGCTCGCTTCATGTTTTGCTGTATAGTTGTAATTGAGATGTTCCGTTAGCGTGAGGCCTAGATATCGGTACTGGCTCGCTTCTTGTTTTGCTGTATAGTTGTAATTGAGATGTTCCGTTAGCGTGAGGCCTAGATATCGGTACTGGCTCGCTTCTTGTTTTGCTGTATAGTTGTAATTGAGATGTTCCGTTAGCGTGAGGCCTAGATATCGGTACTGGCTCGCTTCTTGTTTTGCTGTATAGTTGTAATTGAGATGTTCCGTTAGCGTGAGGCCTAGATATCGGTACTGGCTCGCTTCTTGTTTTGCTGTATAATTGTAGTCGAGATGTTCCTTTAGCGTGAGGCCTAGATATCGGTACTGGCTCGCTACTTGTTTTGCTGTATAGTTGTAATTGAGATGTTCCGTTAGCGTGAGGCCTAGATATCGGTACTGGCTCGCTACTTGTTTTACTGTATAATTGTAGTCGAGATGTTCCGTTAGCGTGAGGCCTAGATATCGGTACTGGCTCGCTTCTTGTTTTGCTGTATAGTTGTAATTGAGATGTTCCGTTAGCGTGAGGCCTAGATATCGGTACTGGCTCGCTTCTTGTTTTGCTGTATAGTTGTAATTGAGATGTTGCGTTATCGTGAGGCCTAGATATCGGTACTGGCTCGCTTCTTGTTTTGCTGTATAGTTGTAATTGAGATGTTCCGTTAGCGTGAGGCCTATATATCGGTACTGGCTCGCTTCTTGTTTTGCTGTATAGTTGTAATTGAGATGTTCCGTTAGCGTGAGGCCTAGATATCGGTACTGGCTCGCTTCTTGTTTTGCTGTATAGTTGTAATTGAGATGTTCCGTTAGCGTGAGGCCTAGATATCGGTACTGGCTCGCTTCTTGTTTTGCTGTATAGTTGTAATTGAGATGTTCCGTTAGCGTGAGGCCTAGATATCGGTGCTGGCTCGCTTCTTGGTTTGCTGTATAGTTGCAGTCGAGATGTTCATTTAGCGTGAGGCCTAGATATCGGTACTGGCTCGCTTCTTGTTTTGCTGTATAGTTGTAATTGAGATGTTCCGTTAGTGTGAGGCCTAGATATCGGTACTGGCTCGCTTCTTGTTTTGCTGTATAATTGTAATTGAGATGTTCCGTTAGCGTGAAGCCTAGATATCGGTACTGGCTCGCTTCTTGTTTTGCTGTATAGTTGTAGTCGAGATGTTTCGTTAGCGTGAAGCCTAGATATCGGTACTGGCTCGCTTCTTGTTTTGCTGTATAGTTGTAGTCGAGATGTTCCGTTAGCGTGAGGCCTAGATATCGGTACTGGCTCGCTTCTTGTTTTGCTGTATAGTTGTAATTGAGATGTTCCGTTAGCGTGAAGCCTAGATATCGGTACTGGCTCGCTACTTGTTTTGCTGTATAGTTGTATTCGAGATGTTCCGTTAGCGTGAGGCCTATATACCGTTACAGGCTCGCCGTCGTCAGTGTGCACTCTCCCCACGTGAAAACGTGTCCCGTTACTGCGGCGTTAGCTCGTGTGAAGTGAACCACTTGAGATTTACTGTCATTTATGCTTATCCCGTTCTTCACACACCAGTAGTGTAACATATTTAACATGAATTGTAGATCTTCTTCGCTTTCAGCTATTAGGACAACGTCATCAGCGTACAGTAAAATGTTTATAATCTTATCACCGATCTTGGCACATTTACCTTGGTCCTTTATACTTTGGGATAAATCATTGATAAAAACGTTAAAAAGTAGAGGTGATAATACACATCCTTGCTTCAGCCCATAACCAACACTAAACCACTCCGTCATAAGGTTTGTTATACGTACACAACTGTTAACACTTTTATATATGCCTCTCACTGCTCCCAACATCCATGGACTAACTCCAAATCTTCCAGTTTAGTAAACAGCAAATCTCTTTCACGATCGTAGGCTTTACGAAAGTCAATAAATGCCGTGAATGCAGGTAACTTCCTCTTCTGTCTGGATTCAATGATACTGGTGAGAGTTGACAGTTGGTCGATTGCAGATCGCCCCTTTCTGAACCCATTCTGTTTGTCTGCAATCAGACCGTTTTTTTCTGTCCATTTTGGCAGCCGATTATTCAACACAGAACAAACGATCTTGTAGCTGATAGCATGTGATTATCATACTACTATATGATTGCCTCACAGGTAGCTTGGGTTGCAGTACACACGGATCCACAGGCCGGGGTAATAATGTAAGCACTTTGAGCATACACCTTGTGTATGGAAGTAGCGCAATGTTCTGATTTTTTTCACAAACGTTTTCGTTGTTGGCGTGTATGTGTTAAATATGATGCACTGAGGTAAATGCCTAAATCTTACAGTGACTTCACAAATTCACTAAGAAACTAAGTCCCAAAGTGCAAAATATTGGATGAACTATGAAAAATATTATAAGCCCAAAATGTAAAGACTTACATTGACTTCCATTTTCTTTCAATCCTAACATTTTAGTCACTAGCTCGATCTATTTGCTCTAATTTCAAACAAGTCCAATTTTGAAAACTTTTCGTTTACCGTTTGGTGATAATGTCTACTACTATGTCTGACTGTGAGGGTTTCAGGTAGAGTACTGGTTGATGCTGTCCGGGTGTGGAGTATACATTTGTTGTTTTAGCGACTACATAGAGAATATCACCCAAGTGTCTTCTGATATCAGATATATCAACATGAGTTGATTAAAGTTACAAATATCCGAGGCTTGCAGAGGATAGTTTTACTTTAATCAACGACACGATGGTGATATTTTATTTATCATCCAAAATCATTCTTCATCGGTTATCAGTAACAGAATGAATTTATCTGAACAGATACTGGGTAACTGCCATTAGTCCTTTTGAGCAGTGATCCCAGTGAGGTCATAACATGGTGACGTCATCAGCTTTGTGACGTCATAGCATTGTCAGCTGTGTTTTTAGTAATGTCAAAGCATTGTAAGGTCATTAACTGATGATATTAATATACAATTATAGACTCTTTTAGAGGTCGATATCGGTTTTTATTGACCTGAGAAAAACAATATCGATATTGTTTTACTCAGGTCAATAAAAACCGATATCGACCTCTACAAAGGTCTATAATTGTTTTATTATATAATGAAAGAGAAACGGGTTTTAACATAAACTTTTAATGCACACACTGTGCCATCTATCCGAGTGATCTGATTGGCTGAAAAGCGGGGGATTCCTTGTCTATTTTTAGTAACCCAAGTCAATATCGTAATTTATCAGAAAACTCAAGTCAATATCGTGTTTTGTAGTCAATCATGTGACGGTATTTTGACCAATCGTGGTACAGGAAAAATACTACCTATATAATAGCGAGGTCAATAACAACCGATATCGACCTCTACAAGAGTCTATAATTGTTTCTAAGATGCCTAGCTGTTAGAACAATCAGAAAAAAAATACATTATGAGACAATAAAGGTATAGTTTTTTGATGACGTAACAATTGAATGACGTTATCCCGTCACTGCGCCATTCTAGTGTGCCCCCTCGTAATCGAACCATTTTACATTACGTCACAATGTAAGCGACGTCACGATGCATGTCAGTTGTCATCGCCTCGTACTACACCGTTGCATCCAGTTTCTTGGTTTGCTGTTGCTTCACGCAGCTAACATCACTGGTGGAAACATTACGTTTATGTTTTACGACGGTTAAAATGTGTCATTTCGACTCACAAGTTTTCAGCGACACGGTAACGTTCGTAATGTTTACATTCCCACAATGCAATTGTGGAATGTCGCTTGACTACTCAACTTCCTCTGGATGTACTGATCTAACTGACTGACTGACTGACTGACTGAGTTTAGTTTTACGCCGCTTTTAGCAATATTCCAGCAATATCACGGCGGGGGACACCAGAAATGGGCTAAACTTACGCTGATAGTAGAAATGCAACGTTCATATTGCCCCATATGGTTTACGTGAATGACAGATGTAATTAAAATAATTCAGAGAAGATATTTAATCCTAACGTAAACCGTCATCAAACTGTTATCATTTGTTTTTTTCTGGTAACGTTCGTCTTAACGTGGGGGGGGAACACATCAATAGAACAGCGGGGCCAGTTAGCCCTGTGCGAGGATTCTTAATTTAGGTCACCGACACCGTCGTTTGTTTTCTGCCTTAAATTAATCGTAATTATCCTTAGAAAGTATTAAATTTGGCATCTTAGAAAAGAAATACACTTGAACTATTATAACGTTAAAGCACTCGGACGCAAGCGTCCTCGTGCTTTAACTATAATAGTTCAGGGCAAAAGTGTGTTTTATTACACTATACATGGTGGTAGAGCGAAGTGTATTTCTTAAATAATGTCAGTTCAATTATTGCGATATAACAGAAGCGATATCTACTGTGGGAGCCAGTTCTGGATGATAACATGTTTTCAGCGACTCTCCAACAGTGTAACTTTAATTCAAGGTCGGACTGAGTAGAGTACATGGAGGTGTCATTTATTTCGTTTGGTTTCATTTGGGGGCGTTTTCTGGTCTGTTACAACTTGAAGGGTGAAGAGAATCCGCATTCCCGTTACAGAACCCCTGTTGTGTTTTAAACATGAACAACACAAGTCTTTCGCGATGGATATTCAAACTCATGCTCACTCCCGCCATCTTAATTACTATCTTCTTCTTCACTTCCCAACTGTCGACCACAGCATCTGAAAACAGTATTGTGTGTAAATAGGAATTTCACAAGAGAAGCAAACTATAACATTGTTATGTCTATCAATGATTTACAGAAATAGTAGTACATGTGTGTGTTCGTAACATGAGCGGTCCTCCTTTTATATAATTTGAATTGGTTCTTGGCGTTATTGAAAGTTTTCAATATCTACAAAAAAGTAATTATGTAACAGGGTCGGCATTTAAATAAACCAGCAAGGCCTGTTTCCCAATCCCTTTCAAGTACAGTCGCATGGTATATGTCTAATGATTAATATTTCTATTGTGCCACAAGTCACATAATTCCCATAGTGTGGAGTGCCTGCTTAATGCTTTTGTTACTTATAAACGAAGTGCTACCGTGGTATCGTTTATTAAATATGTTCCGTGTAGTCAACCTGACGAACCCTGGGAACCTGGGAATGCCCCATAAATGACACTTGATTTGTAAATGACGCGGCAAAGACAAGTAGGTGCCATGAAATGCCTTGTTTCTTTATTAATTTACCCGTGTCCCGATAGCAGTCACAGCGAGCTACAAGCATCTATAAGAACAACGTCGACGCTTCCAACTGTCACCACGCAATGTTAGAACCTCAGTAAAGTCAAACATAAGGGCGACAACTCGTGTGGGTAGAGGCGTAACATCGACAATAATTTGATCTCTGGTTACCTCTTATCGCTTTGAATGAGCCAGAAACACATGTCGACTTGTAAGAAGATTTCGTTGCGACAAACTCCATCTTCCTCTACGCTCTCACGCGCGTGTCGTGTTCTTCGATTGCGCATGCCAAGGTGCGTGTCACAATATCATAAAAACTCAATAAACATTAGCGTTAAAATGGTGGGAGAGCGGTGGAGTTATAGTTCCCACACGTGGGCCTCTCTAATCAGATAGCAGAGACAAAAGCTATTACAAGACATGAGATTGATTTGCTGCCAATTCCTTGTCATAAATTAGATTTCGGGAGGAGTGCTGTAGGTATAGCCAGACGATGGGCATTCACACGACCGAGGAACTGGACAATGGTCGGGATCGCCGGATTTGCTTGTTGACACACTAGAACCGTCTTAACAAGCACAGAAAGCCAATCGAGACTCAATTATCGAGTGAGGACCTCTCCCGTTTAGGCTTCAAGCTGTTTGCCCGGAGAATAGTTCAGAAAGCTGTCGCATGTGTCGCGATTCCTGTCCGCCAAGCGTGGATAAACCATGTTTAGCCGGAGTCAAGTGAATCTCCAAGCCGGTGTCGCCATCATCGCATTGTGCCTGACCACATCAGAGATAAGGGGCGTTCACACCGTTTTGTGGTGACTCTCCGTCGTAATAATTTCATTAATGGTAATTAAAATCCGTTTCCACTACACTCAAAAAACTGCGTCAGGCATCGCCTGTATACCAGGCACTGTCAGCTTTGTCTTCTTGCCTAGAATATGTGATATCCCATCAAGCCCACCACTCGCTTTGTGTCAACGTTGTAAAACGTTGTTTAATGCTCTTAGTCAAGATACACAGACCCACTATTGCGTATGCGGTGGCTTCCCTTCTCTGCCCTTAGCGTAATGCATCATAAAATCCCAATAAATTCACGATATTACCGAATATAAATACTGAGTAGAAGATAGGCAGTTATTTAGTAAAAAGGCGATCCGTTTGTTATAAACACGAGTTATGTTTTATAAATCTCTCATTTACCAAAAACAGTTGCTGCTTCTGATAATAAACACAAAGTGCCAGTAGCAACGGTAGTATTTCTGTGGTTGTTGATGCAGAGACCACAGAGCGACGGGATCATAATATCAATCGAACGACATGCCATCAATACAAAGATCGGCACAACGACTACTTCTACTGCTGCCCGTGGTGTGTGGAGCAAGTTTGCCAACTTGGTGAAGCTTGCTGATAGGTGACGCCACATGCTCGCATCAATGTATGAAAGGGCCACAAGGTTTTCTCATTGATTGTTTTCAGCAGAAATGAATCAAAAGCGGGCACGTTATTTCGTTGGTCAGTAGGTTTATGTTCTGTTGTTGCTGTTGGCATAGTTTAAGGTCGACAAGGACAAGAATGTGGGTCTATTTTGTGCCCAACACATTCATCAAAATTGACTATAATAAATATAAATAGTCAAGCAGCAGATAATAATTCCCATGCATTAAAATGTACTCAGATATTTTGATGAAACCTCTGCTCAGTGAAATGGACGATTTTGAACCTTGTTTCGTTTTAGAAAAACAAAACCTGTTCGTTCAATAAAGATGCAGAAAATATTTATCATTCAAAACTGTGTTCACCTGGAGATATCGCTTGTATGAGATCATATGATATATCCTAGGAGATATCGTTTAGACAGTAGATTTTGTACAATGCCCCGACAATGCTATGACGTCACAATGCTATGACATCGTTGCACTGCAAGTAACACTAATGGTAGTACAGAGTTGAGAAATGTACAATTTTCATTGAAAACTAATGAAGAATAATTTTTGATGATAAATAGAATCTCACCCTCGTGTCTACTGATATCAATTAAATCAACACTCGTTGATAAAGGTAAAAATTTGTAACTTTATAAACTATCAACTATTTGATATCAGTAGACAGTTGGGTGAGATTCACTATATGTTAACAAGATGTCCAAGCAACACATATATTTGGTTTAATCTTTCTACCAGACGACATATGCCGCATAGACTGTCACATACCTGCCTGACGCAGTCACGTACATTTGTAAAGCTCTTGGAACTCAACTGTACAGGATGTTGGGGCCCTGGGCCTCCTTTCACAAAGCACTAAGGTGATCGTAAGTCACTAAGGTAACCTTATAGCAATGTTAAAGAATAGGAGTCAAGGTTAACCTTAGTAAAGGTTGCTTCGTGAAAGGAGCCCCAGTAAGGGAGAATGTATATATCACACTTCTCGAGAAAGGCACTTCTGTCCCATGTTCACATAACGGGGACACTCCAACGGATAATGTTGAACGTTTTGTCCTATCACTATATTGGTCACAGAGAGGTGACACTTCCTTATCAACAACACCCGTGTAGGCGTACACCGGAACCATGACGGAGTCCAGTTAGAACACGTATCTTACGACGGCGAAGTTTACAGTTTTGAGTTCTTCAAGTAGATCCAACTTCCCACAAGGTTGGCCATTCCATGGAGGCCGACTTCACAATGGCACATTCTAAATCTACTTGTCAAGGCCTGAATTCAAAATGATCAACCTGTACACTTCGCAGTCCTGCCCTAACAAGATTATCTGCTATTTCATTACACTGCAATTCAACATGAGCTGGAACCCATACAATATCACATGATATATATTTAGCATTCTAGATTGTTTCTAGTTTCAAAATTTCGTTAACAGTATCATTTCTGGGCCCATTAACTCCAGACTCAATAGCCTTAACGGCTAACACTTGCATGAATCGGTAAAAATGACTGCTTTATTGATTATGTTCTGCTGCAACATCTGGTATATTATGTGTGTCAAATGTTCATAACGTCCCCGTATAAACTCCTCAGAGTGAGTGAGGAATTTTGCCAAACCAAGATTGGAATTGTTACAAAAGCTCCAGTGCAAATTCTAAGAGCATGCAATCATGTTTGATGAGATGAATTTTAGAAGGAGACATGTAGACTTGCCATTGGCGATTCTCTTGATATTTAACAGGATTGAAACCCCCATTTTGAACACCAAATATTAACTAGCTATGTTTTTAATTGTTTCTCTAACAAAATAAAAGTTGTCCAAGATAGTTTTATGGATTAAACTTCTTTTGTATTTCCCTCACAACGTTTCGAGACCATTACAGGCCCCTTCAACAGGTGAACTGACAGTTGACACTATGACGTCGTCACTATGACGTCATAACTGCATGTGACACCACAATACACAAGGAAGAGTACAGTATAAGTGAAGTTGAAAACTTGAAGTGTTAATTACATAATGATGATAAATTCATGCTAGATAATAGAGTTGAAATTTGAATTGTTAATACACAACAATAGTAGGCTTTTCAAGATGAATAGATAATAGGCTTCACATTTATCAAAAGTTCATCAAAAGTTAATCAAGAGGTTTCCGCACCTGGCAGGTAGACACCTTGATCACGATTCATTGCCGGTTTATGTCTCCTTATCTCCACAGCCTCCTGTAGTTTCCTCCGACGCCAGTCGTTGTTATTGCTCGAAAGCACCATAAAATATCTTGGAGATCTATGTACAACGCCTAAATCCCGCTAAAAGATAAAATATAAGTTACCAAATCGTCTCCAGAACGAACAACCATCTGTAAACTGAGCAGCATCGACACAGGTAGGTCGATCATGATCATTAACAAAAATGTATGTATAATGTGCATACAAGAAAGTTCTGCCACAATACATTTCAGAAAGAAATGATTGAATCCATGTTACCTTTTATTCCAACCTTGGGCATTTTAAAAAAAATGTGCGGCAGATCATGTCATATGCCTTTCTGTATCAAGAAATATGCACAATATATACACCTGATTGCCAATTTCTTTCTGGATAAAACCTAGTTTTTCTCACGATAATTAATCAAGCGGTTGGTAACTATTCTTTCAATACTTGTACATAAATTAGATATATGAAATTGGCCTGAATGATGCTGGTAGATAGGTCTTTACTTGGCTTTAGTACAAGTATGATTGTGACATGTCTCCAAGCCTTTGGAACAGATCAAGATCACCAGCACGTATTCAAAGGCTCGGGAAGAATCAGGCATATGCTAAAGCAACTCATTGCACAAATTATCTGCTCCGGGTGAGGAGTTGTGAGTTTTCGAAATTGACCCTTGAGCTCATCATGTGTAGAATCGGGGACGCAAGAGGGTGATGTATGGCATACTTTATTGTAAGCTATTTTCTAGACCTGTTAACATTTGAACATTCCTGATTCCACCAGGGTTTGCTGCCTAAGGCTGGTGTCACGTGCTTATTCGACTTTGAATGAAAACACAAAGTTGTAAACAAAATAAATAAAATTTATTACTAACACAACCACTTCATGTATTCAACTCAAATGCTCCCAACAAAACACTCACCAACCTAAACACATGTACAAACAATCCACACGTGCAAACACTATTCACTTAAGCATTCACATTTACCAAACATACAATACACAGTATCCACCATAACGTGGGATGAAGAATAGCAAATACAAGACTATCAGTTACATCACGCAGTCAATGTAACAACTTTACGGAAGTCTTCTGGTCACACTGCCAACCTAATGACATCACCATGACATCACGACTGACGACATTCCACAAAGCAGACGACAATGTCTCACTTCTGACATGACAATGACGTCACACACGAACATACAGGTAGGCGTAGCTTGGACAAGACAGGTACTTGGCTTGCATCATCATGCTGGGCGTACTCAAGGTTACAACATCCAAGTTGCAGCATCATGCTAGGCGTACTCAAAAGGTTACAACATCCAAGTTGCAGCATCATGCTAGGGCGTAGTCAAAAGGTTACAACATCCAAGTTGCAGCATCATGCTGGGCGTAGTCAAAAGGTTACAACATCCAAGTTGCAGCATCATGCTAGGCGTACTCAAAAGGTTACAACATCCAAGTTGCAGCAGCATGATGGGCGTACTCAAAAGGTTACAACATCCAAGTTGCAGCACCATGCTGGACGTACTCAAAAGGTTACAACATCCAAGTTGCAGCACCATGCTGGACGTACTCAAAAGGTTACAACATCCAAGTTGCAGCATCATGCTGGGCGTACTCAAAAGGTTACAACATCCAAGTTGCAGCATCATGCTGGGCGTACTCAAAAGGCTACAACATCCAAGTTGCAGCACCATTTTTCAACAACTACCATGTCCCTGATGTTCAACATCAACACTGGAATAAACAGACACTGATTTAGCACCTATTTAAATATGAAATATGACGTTCATGAAATATTGCAAATTGTGAATGTATATAGCTGAAATACCACTGTCAGCAGCGTAATTACATTACCAACTAAATCACCTGCATATTTTTGCGAATTCAACATAAAATACTTCTCTTGTCACATACCATCCAAAAGTACCACACAAAGTGAAAATTACACTTAAAACACAAATGTTCAATAAATACAAAAACTATACGTACGGCTCATAGTAGCCCATGCATCCACTTGAAGCAATTATATCATCTGTCCACCACTCCTCTCCAATCAGCCCCTTAAATACACAACAGCACATGCCTTCCCCATGCAGCACAAGCATCACATGCATCAACCCATCATGAGATGGTGTGTTTGGGTGAACCACTCGTGGTGATTGTGGCTATTCCAATAGAGCTATTTTTTTGTCAGCTGGATATTTATGTGCAGAAGACATTCCAATAGATGCATCCGCAATTTCAAAGATAGTGATATTACTATTGGAGATATCAATATAGTCACTGATAAAGTCAAGAGTGATATTGTTCATCACACAGAGAGGAAAATTCAATCCAGTGGCACAAAATGTCCCTCTTCCATGATCCATTCAGGTCTTTCTGCCGTTATTTAGGATTACCAGATCAGCAGCATCCAAAAATGCTCCAACAACTGATCCGTTGAAATCTGACTTATCACTGCCCGACAATTCATTGAGAGTGTTGAAATCATTACAAATAAAATAGGGTCCAGGATAATCACATCAGCATCATCCAAAAATGTTTCAACAAACCTTCCATAGAAATCTGCCCCACGATTCATTATTGAAATCAACACAAATAAAATATGTTTCATTAGATCACACAACAATTTTCATATATTAATTCACCCTTGGTTTTCCATTGTTGCATACATTAATTGATATGATTCTTCTTTTATCTCCATTATCTATTTCTACTGATTTCGCTTCAATGGCTGTTCTTCGTAACATGTGTTCTTTTAAAAGATACACCAGATTAACAATAGCGTAACCTCCTCTACGATGATTGATTATATTAGGATTACCAGTTATTTTATCCTTACGCAAACTGGTATAACCATTAATTGTAGAATAAAAAAACTTTGGGGCCACAAGTTTCCCGAACGCAAATAATGTCTGGCAGTTGTGATATGGTTGATGCAAAGTTTTTAAGATTGTCTCCACGTGCAACAAAACTTTGAGCGTTCCAGTGCAGGATACAAAGGAAAACGAGAGCTCTATTCATATTCTTTGTCAGCATGTAAATTATGCAAGATATCTTTTGACACATCAAGAAATAAATGAATTCTGCAACAGATATCATTCGTTCTATTTGCTCTTCTTTGCTAGTTGTGTTGAAGCAACCGGCAATAACTTCCAACAAGAACGTCTGGAATTCTTTTAGGGGAACTACCTAGAATGGTAGTTGGAGCCAAAAGAATAGTTTCAGTAGGAGCTGATTTCGTCGATCCTACATTTGGACTATGTACAGTTCATGAACAACAGGGATCAGAATTGGGTAGAGAATGTGGTTTCGGTACACTTGTAGGAACATCGACTGGTGCCTTGTGAACTGAAGAAGAAACATGGCTGGTCACAGTGGATGCATAGGTGGGCAAATGATTAACCTGGACATTCTTGTAGCCTCGCAATAACACACCTTCTTTTCTACTCTAATTCGTTGGACATATACGGTTTCTCTATATTTTTGACAGCCTTTATAGGCAGCACTGTGATCATCTCCACAAATACGACATTTGGAAACACCCACAACCTTACAATCATTAACCATAATTATGAAATAAGGATATATAAAATGGCCCAAATTGTTGACAATTGTAGAATTTCCCAGCTGGGAGAACAAAGAGACGTACCTGGAACCTGAGGGGTTGCAGATGTAAGGAAAACAGAAGAGGTCATTTCATTTTCGTTCCAACGCAGTAAACTCTTAGCCTCTTGACCCTGAAATTGTTGAACATTCCCTCCCTGTTCACATCAAAGTCAACATTGTAAATGAATCCCTTGCTTTTGCTCAGACTCTTCGGGTCACTGCAAATGACACGAATGTCACAAATTGACGTTGAAGCAAAACCTCCCTTAAATTGAACAGTTGATTTTCAGTGAATTATTATTTATAAGGTCACCTTTTTCTCCTTTTTAAAAAAATAAAATAATTCAACATCACCTGTAGTTTTAATGTCACAAGCCAAAGAGAGTGGACTCAATTACTAACATACAACTAAAATATAAATATAATTGTAGCTTTGACTGGTGTATCTCAGAGACATTCTGAGTCTCCTTACCTTGATAATATTATTGGTATATTTAATTTAAAAAGGCAGAACTGAAACAGTATGTGGCAAAATATCTGCCAAAATAGCACCAGCGACCGTCAACACGTCAGACCTTGCTGACAGCCGAGCCCACTCCTGTCAAAATTCTCGATGTGCAGATCAACGACAGTTACCTCCCTTATTGAGCTCATCGTTCTGCAAAAGGTCACTGTTAGCAACGTTTGTGGTATAACTGAATCACTAGTATGTAGTAAACTGTTATTTACTGTGGAATGTCCCAAGATGTGATCAGTTTACATGATGTGGGCCTGGTAAAAGTTCAGTTTGTTTTCATAAGAAAGATGGACACATAGTAAACTGATTCTATGTCACGGGACTGCCGCCTCAGATCCAACAATTTCATATTTTAGTTGTGATCCACAGATAACCGATTACTTCGAGATATACCATTCTTCTATCTGTCCTATGCATGTGTACATTTAACCCGTTTTCAAAAACAATGACTTTTCACATGCATAAAGACATATTTTGATTAATGTTTCCATGAAAGTAAACGAAATGGCTCCTTAAATACTAAAGTCAGAGCCGAACACATTTTTTTAAGCAGGCACGTCCGACGATAAAGATATTTTCCAACTTCAGTCACTTGATGTTGGATGTTTTCTCCACAGGCCCTCGTGTCTTTGCGAGAATTAAAGATTTAAAAAAATATATATATGAACATTTGAGATGACCCCCGACTCGAAATGCTTCACCGTACTATACATCATGACAAGCTTGCCATGATGTATTGTACTGTGAAGCATTTCGAGTCGGGGATCATCTCAAAAATAATATAGTTTAAATCTTTAATCCTCGCAAAGACACGAGGGTCTGTGGTTTTCTCTCGTAGATACAAAAGTAAATGGTATGACGTGTTGACATACGGGGAGTTGGTCCATTATGATGTAATTTAAGCATTGTTACTGCAGACTGTATGAAGTATGTTGCTCAGGTGTGTAAGCGTCTACCTGTATTTATTACTACCCAATGAAAACCCAGTCATTCACTGAAATGGGTTAGCGCATTTGTTTGATATAACATAGACATATAAAAAAATAAAATAAATAATGCCCTTTAAACATTTGGACTATGTTAACATATCCCATTGTCGTCAACAGTGGGTTGTTGTTTTGTTCCAATTTGTATGTGCGTATAATTTAGGAATATATATCATTGAAAGCGTATTTCGGGATACATATCAGTGGTAAGTTAATATCATTACAAAAACATTCTTAAATACTATAAAATATATTTCTTTTTTTCATCTATGTGGGATTGAGTCCATACATTCATGCAGACTGAAATTATTAGAAAATTCCACTTTAGTTTCTCCTGGACTGTCCAAGTGCGGCTCCTAATCAGCACACTCACCCACCAGGGCTTCCTCAAAATTTGAAGAAAAATAATCTAAAAAATATGTTTATTTACAACGCGATACCAGCTGCATATATATGCATCCTCGGATCCATGTATATTTCCTTTGGCCGCTTGTATACACACTTTGTAATATGCACGTATGGTTCACCATAATATTAATCTAGCTCTGATTTGTTTGTAAGCAAAATCCACCGTTATCATATTTTCCTGTCATTCACGTGTCACAGAAACCAAAGGATATCGATTTTCCCAGTATATTCAACAATACATGAAAACATGCGCGTCGCGTGCCGTTTCTGTGACACCGCGTGACATTTTAATGATACCGGTCCTTACATTCACTGACTGGCGGGACTGGGCGAGCTGGTCGCGCTTCGCCTGATGCGCTATTGTTCCCTTGGCTGGTGAACTATAGATCAGTGGCAAGGGGCTCCGCGCGTTACTCCAAGTGTCAACTGTGCGAACAGGTGTACAGTGTCATATAGCGTTGTGCCTGTCATGTATTAAAATGCAGATAAACACTAATCAAATCAAATCAACTCACTCTCATACCGTTAAGTTACGAGGAGTTGGTTCTGTTGCTGTTATGTGGCCAGATGGGGCGAGATAGACATCGCTTCCGGTAAGCATCTAGAATACACAAAAAAAGACAATGTACGGAGCCCGAACCGAGGTTCCAGTTTTCTCATTTAGGTCATATTTGCTTGTAACCTCAGTAGAATGTAATAATACAGCCGGAAAGGTTATTATAAGCTATGTTACATGCAATTAAAGAATACTCGAGTATCTTTGAGCTTCAGGTAAAGTAGGTTGTTGTAAATATGTATGTAAGACGATTATGGAACTGCAATGTGTTGGGATAATGCCCGTTGTAAGTTTGGACTGACTGACATTGAAGAAAACACTGAAAATACAGGGTTGTTTAATAGTTTTGTTTTGAGGTAAACATCCATGTGATGAAAGTAATAGGGCGTTAGCCTACATTGTGCGACTAGCTTGTATTATTCGTGTATATTTCGCTTTTTAAGCATCAAATCCATGTTATATTTTTCATGTTTTGTTAAACAAATTTCTACCAATTCAGGCTAACATTCGGGACCGCTAGCAGGGTTACCGTTTACCCCTATGTGTGCGGGTATTGAATTTTTCAGAAGCAGATATTTATATAAATGGCACACCAAAAGCGTATAAGAAAATACACGCTAGATATTTATCCCATTGAAGATGTCACACGTGATTTCAAATTGCACCCACTGAAACCACATAAAAAACTTATGAACCCTTTGAACATAATTATCGTGTGGATAATGTTTTTCAAAAAATGTCTTGCACAATTTCGTAAACAAAGCATTTCAACACTAAACTGTTTTCCCATGTACATGGCGCAAATAGGAGCACATGCGGGTAGCCTACAATATCCAAGAAAAATAAAACAGACATATTTCAACAAAAAATATTCCCACTTAGAATTATGATATATTTCTGCATAATATTTTTTTCTAGAAACAAACAAACTAGACAGTAGACACTAGTACGCTAAATTGTAATACCCACAAGTAATACGCTCAAGTTTGAAACAAATATATGGCACAAGTCCATTGTTGTCGTTGACTAGGTTTTAAATACACAACCCGTTTTACAAACTTTAGAACATTTAGTTTTTCAGACAACTCCATTCTCAGCCCGTTTTCATCCTCTTACAATACAATATCTACATTTCCTGTGAAATACCACTTCACTGAACTTATCACACATCTTTGTTCCAAGGGCTATATATTAGACTCCACTCTGTTTTTGTCTGTGTCGGCGGGGTCATCATTTATCGGTATATCCAGAAGAAAGTTAGAGCACGAATATGTCTAAACGTGATGTTTGAATGAATGCTTCCAACTTGCTTGGACTGCCAGTTTACCCAGTCTAGATTATGTCAAACATTGATCACGTTGTCTTGATATAGAAGGATACACCCACTGATGCAAACACATTTATGCACTCGCGTTAATATGGAAATCGGGAATAATGTCTCTATAATTAGCCATACTTTCAAACATCAAGAGAAAGGATTCATGAAATGCATCATGTATTTGACCTTCATCGATTATCAATTTCTATTAAACGAAAGGTCAACACATAGTTTATATATCTACCGGTATATAGCTAACTTACAAGAAACGGAGAGACGCAGATGTCACAAAACAGTTGAAACAACAGCAGTGAAGATGACAAAGGGAGGTAAGCGAGGTGTGCGGCAGATGTGGTAACTATTCTTTCCCCAGATCTGTGGGAACGCTCTCCTCAAAGTCAAGAAACTAGTAGTAAGTCGCATGATGTGATTGGTCTAAGTATCGTCTATATCACATAAAATGATGACTCTCAGATCCTTATATAGCTGTTGACATCTCTGACAGCTGATACAACATGGAGGTGGTGTTGGGCTGGCACCGACGGTCACGTGGAAGCAGCAATATTGACTGGAATATGGAGTTATAGGTGATGAAACATTGTCGTGAGCCACTATCATGTACTGAAGTGCTTAAACATTCATGTGATATTTTGTTAATGTTGACAAATTCAGATTCTTTCACGTCTCTTATAACCGTCATCGGTTACAAACTGAATAACAACAAAGAGTGAATATTTATATTTATCTATGGATAACTAGTCTATACGGCTTCATGCTGAATTTTGTACATATGACTACTTACTCGATTCTGTATTAATAATTGTTAGAAACCTGTCAGGGTGCTTTACATTTAGGAGTGCACAAGAAGCGTTTTGGGTCCGAAGTAGAACAAAATAAATAGTGAAATTCGACTACAATGCCTGGTGAACTAAATATTTCACATAATCGATTATCAGACAAATGCGTTGCATCAATATAAAACAGATGCACCCACTCTGATCTGTCCTACACGAGGTACAATAGTTTCACAGTCGTTCACAAATACATCAGTCAAACTGCATACTAGCGTGCCGTGCCAGTCACCGAGAACTTCAGTCTATATACTCGCTTTGGAATCAATCATGTTCAAGCACTTTTGCAAAACGATATTTGGTGCCAGTCATATCTTCTGTTACATTAGAGAAAAGATTTCCTACCAAAAGCAAAGATAAAGGTCAATACCTGTTGATCAGATTGAATGTTAGATGCCTTGACCTGTGAAGCCTCCACACCACTTCCAGCTGCCACTTGGAAACTATAACAAATAGTGTATGAACAAATGGACTTCGAAAGCTGGTACTGGTTTGTCTCCAAGAACATAGATTTGAAAAGGAATCAAATGAATAATTTGGCGAAGCAACATTGCCTCAGGCAATTGCCTTAAAAGCATTGTTCTTATTTCCATATTTTCTAACCGGCGCCATATAACTGGAATATTGCTGAGTGCGGCGTAAAACTAAACTCACTCACTATATTTTCTATATTTCAATAAAAGGATCACTATTTCTGGGACTAAATGCTAGTCAATACACGGTGCTCGCCGTTAGTGTTATATAAGAGAACGTATAACCCGGTAACTATAGTATGTGCGAGGCGGAAGTGAAAATACTATGCGAAATGTTCTGACGTAGCCGCTCTGCGACGCGCGAACAACGTTGTATACAGGCTCGCAAACTGCATCTTGGCGCTTCAGTGACACAAACTAGTTACCTGATACACTTGGAATAGCACACTGCTTCACAATAGACAAGCCGATTATTCTGTACGTATATCTTGTAACATCATTAAAAAAAACGCATTCAATAGTGGTTCTTTTCTCCTTGCCTGCCTGTAACTACCCGTGCGGGTCACGTGACGACGTGTCTAGGAGCTAAATATATATAAACGTTTCTTAGACCGTGGGAAACTCACGGAGTAATATGATTGCAATGCATGACAAAATCGCGGTTCCTATTCATCAGAATTTCGAGAGAGAGAGAGAGAGAGAGAGAGAGAGAGATTGTGACACTCGTGTGATAGCCGGGGTATCTCTGTTAAACGTGCCTGATTGTCTTACACGTGTAGTAGTGTGGATATCTCTGTAACACTTGCCTGATTGTCTTACACGTGTTAGAGCCGGGGTATCTCTGTTAAACGTGCCTGATTGTCTTACACGTGTAGTAGTGTGGATATCTCTGTTACACTTGCCTGATTGTCTTACACGTGTTAGAGCCGGGGTATCTCTGTTAAACGTGCCTGATTGTCTTACACGTGTAGTAGTGTGGATATCTCTGTTACACGTGCCTGATTGTCTTACACGTGTTATAGCCGGGGTATCTCTGTTAAACTTGCCTGATTGTCTCACAAGTATTAAAGTAGGCATATCTCTGTTATACGTGCCTGATTGTCTTACACGTGTTAAAGTAGTGATATCTCTGTTACACGTGACTGATTGTCTTACAAGTATTAAAGTAGTGATATCTCTGTTACACGTGCCTGATTGTCTTACACGTGTTAAAGTAGTGATATCTCTGTTACATGTGCCTGATTGTCTTACAAGTATTAAAGTAGGCATATCTCTGTTACACGTGCCTGATTGTCTTACACGTGTTAAAGTAGGCATATCTCTGTTACACGTGCCTGATTGTCTTACAAGTATTAAAGTAGGGATATCTCTGTTACACGTGCCTGATTGTCTTACAAGTGTTAAAGTAGTGATATCTCTGTTACACGTGCCTGATTGTCTTACACGTGTTAAAGTAGTGATATCTCTGTTACACGTGCCTGATTGTCTTACAAGTATTAAAGTAGGGATATCTCTGTTACACGTGCCTGATTGTCTTACACGTGTTAAAGTAGTGATATCTCTGTTACACGTGCCTGATTGTCTTACAAGTATTAAAGTAGAGATATCTCTGTTACACGTGCCTGATTGTCTTACACGTGTTAAAGTAGTGATATCTCTGTTACACGTGCCTGATTGTCTTACACGTGTTAAAGTAGTGATATCTCTGTTACACGTGCCTGATTGTCTTACACGTGTTAAAGTAGTGATATCTCTGTTACACGTGCCTGATTGTCTTACACGTGTTAAAGTAGTGATATCTCTGTTACACGTGCCTGATTGTCTTACACGTGTTAAAGTAGTGATATCTCTGTTACACGTGCCTGATTGTCTTACACGTGTTAAAGTAGTGATATCTCTGTTACACGTGCCTGATTGTCTTACACGTGTTAAAGTAGTGATATCTCTGTTACACGTGCCTGATTGTCTTACACGTGTTAAAGTAGTGATATCTCTGTTACACGTGCCTGATTGTCTTACACGTGTTAAAGTAGTGATATCTCTGTTACACGTGCCTGATTGTCTTACACGTGTTAAAGTAGTGATATCTCTGTTACACGTGCCTGATTGTCTTACACGTGTTAAAGTAGTGAAATCTCTGTTACACGTGCCTGATTGTCTTACACGTGTTATGGTCGGGATGTCTCTGTTACACGTGCCTGCTGTCTTACACGTGTTTAAGTCGGGATATCTCTTTTACACGTGCCTGATTGTCTTACACGTGTTAAAGTCGGGATATATCTGTCGGGATATCTCTGTTACACTTGCCTGATCACCACGTACACGATATGATCTGGTAGTAATCTCTCTATGACACATGCGACTATTACAACATCACAGATGGTAGCTCAAATGGATTACACGCATGAACATGCTTTCTGTTTTCTGTTGAAGATGGATATAATATTTCTTCCGGCATTACGACCACTACGTAAGTAAACTATCACTATCGCGATCGGTCGCTTGCATATAAATCTATGTGAGTGTGACACTTAATTCCCATCTTCACTCCGAAACATGCCGTTATACGTTTTGTGAACAAATCAGGAGTGTGTAAAGCTGTTCACGCGCTTTCAATTGTCAACAATTACCAAAGACTAGAGACGGTCTACTTGAGTGACATTGTCACTTGGTTCGTCACTCGGACCCCTTGCATTCCCACTGCAGTCGCCCGTCTCACCGCTTTCCCACGGACACACACGTGACTGCCGCGCGCTTAGCGCAATGAACGATCACCTGCCAGCCCCGAATGGGAATAACGTATCACGCTCAGCTGACTTCTCATCACAACAATATTTTGTTTCAACGATTGTTTTCACATGTCATTATGATTTTTGTAAGAAAGTTTCTCCATATGTGTTCATGACAATATTTATCTGAAATATAAATGTAAACTTAAAATATAGACAAGCATTTCTTCCATTGCTGATATCATCACACATGATGTAGCGTGGGTCGCGCCTCCCAGCGATCATTATGCCCAACGCCTGGCCGTCGTCTGGCGTGGTTTAGGCAGGCGACAACCAATCAAAAGACCAACATGGGCCGCGTTGTGTGCAAACGTTCCATAGTAAACGACCGACGGCCTGTCAATCATCGAGCGTTGGCCAAGGGAGGTGTGATCGAAGCGCACGGGCCAGGTTTTATTGAGCCGGCGTGGGCAGGCAATGACAGTTGAAAACGAACGTCGTTCAGGAAAGACCTACATCCGCTCTCATCTAGTTTGTTGAATTGTAGTTTCCGTAGCCCAATATGAAGCGAAGTCTGAGTGACAGTGAAAGCGACGATGGATTCGAGGATCGCCTTAAGGCAGGGTGGGTGCAAGCATGCGCAATGGTCGTCTCTTGTGGATTTTACACGTGCTTCTTGCACGCGCACTCGTCATTTCAGGGTGGGGAAGGTTATGCGCATGTGCTAACTTGTGCAAAGTAAGTACTTCTTTACACAATGACAGTAGCCTATCTGGTTTTCATTCCAGATCCCCGTCACAGAGCTGCCAGATTACCGACAGAAAGAAAAGGCGAGGGGTAAGTCAATGTTTATATAACCACGTCTTGTGCAATGTGATTTACTAGGGAATATAGTTATACTCCTTGTGTATATTGGGGGATTTGTGACAGCTCTGCATGGACGTGCCTCACATGGTACTGTGAAGTGCATGACGATTCTCCTGGGGCAGATGCATGACTCAACCGTAGGAGCCATGACTAACAGCTTGATGACATCCTATTAATCCCATATCACTCCCTGTTATCCTTCATTTGTCAGCTAACTTTATAGGACGCACTTCAGATCCAGGGTTTTGAAATACGAGGATGCACATAACATCCAGTATATGCCCGGGCAATAACATACATCATCTCGCCTTGGTTCCAAGTGCTGTTACCTTAATGACGTGTTTCTTATATTGTTCATTTATGTAACATTTCAGATAATCGAGAAGCGCAGGCGTGACAGGATAAATAACAGTCTATCGGAACTTCGGAGACTTGTACCATCTGCCTTTGAGAAACAGGTAATTAATGTTCCATTTTACTGCACGTTTACATTGATTGTTTAGCAACAGTATTATTGTGTATTAGACCTTGTAACATCGTTTGTCCCTCACATGTCGTATTCTAACGATTCACGACTGAGAAACAACCCCACATTTTTTCTTGAGTTTTTCTTCTGCCTGCAGTCAGTCGTATAGGCAGAGCGTGTAGCTGGAATATAAGATCATTAGGGCGGTTTGCACTTCAGCGTTGATATCGACGGCGGTATACCTCTCTGCTTGATAATAACTTCCTGTAAGACAATACACATGGGACTAATTAGTTAGCAATCTACAGCCTTCCATATCCCAATCCACCGGATGTTCTCCTTAATAATAGAGAGATACCTCGTTCAGTATATACCTTCTCAAAAATACCCCCAGGCTTTTACTGATTATTTGGCATATAGTAATAGTTCTGCTTGTTTTTGTTGCCCTACTTTGCGACATGAAGGTACGCTTGGTAAACTCAGTAGTGTAAGTCCACGCAGTCGCGGTTACTTCACAAACCAAGACATATTCGATTATCTCCCCTGCCTCACATCTGACGCTCTTCGTGGTCTCCGTTTACTCAGATCCATTGCATATGCATAATCATTGAAAGTTTGGTATTCATGGGGAGTGGGAAACAGTATTCCATTGTATTCTACTCTCTGTTAATCCCACTTTTATTTCCTTCTCAGAAAGCATGTGTTTTACATCTCCACTAGGAAACCCAAGTTCAATTTTATCTCAACCACTTACTGTGTTTTCGCATTTGTTTCGAGTTAAAATCGATATTTTCAACATTTAGACAGAAAAAAACATCGATTTTGCTGCATTGTAGACAAGCTTTTCGCCTTCTGTGCATATACGTTTTAAGCCCACTTCAAATAACCGCGGTGCAAAAGCATTCAGTCAGTCAAATGCATACGGAATAAACACGACGAGCTATCCGTGGTGAAGCAGGCTCCCACGACCTCGGCTAGTCGTCCCACGAACTACCAATAGAGCTGTTTTCAAATAGATGCATCACGGTGAAAAAGATGCGTGTGAAATACAGTCTGAAGGCAAACAAACGCACAAATCAATTACGTCGGCCTTTCACCGGCATTTGACAAACGCTGACGACACGTTAACTTTACGGTCGTGCTAAGTGCTTTTTGTCCAAGTCGAATGCTTTAGCATCAAATTCATTTTTGAAGTAGAACACCTTTGTCCTAATTAACATATTTATCGTGCAATGATAATTTGTCGAATCCAGTCACATTCCTTTTAACATCACTTTCACCTTATTGGGTAATTTGAAAGGTCGATGTTTTCGATATATGTATAATTCGAATGGAAGAGCTAGGAAACTAATGTTTCTCAAGCATGAACTTATCAAATGGGAATTTCTTTCAATATCCACTGAGATTTGAGTTATGCAGATGAAACAAAATTAGCATCATTGTTATGAAATGGAATCGAGGTGTGTTTAAATAAGATTTTGAGGTAAACCCTTCAGCGGCATTCCCATCCCCATGAGACATGCACAGAAGACTGCAAATTGTGCCAACGTTCACATACAGTGTGCCAGGTGTCAAGGGAATAATCATGTACATATACACCGTACTTCCGTCATATGCGTCTTTTAAAACTGGATAGATTTTAAATCACACAGTAACGATTGAGACATACGATGTACTTAGCACAGTTACCGCATCATCTTTGTGTTTGTCTGACCTGCTTTAGCCCATAATCATACGTTGGTTGTTGAAAGTGTGACACGTGTTTCCATCAATACCATTCAGATTTCCCACCGATTATCGGCTTGATCGTGGACACCATGTACATGTGATGAAGAAAAAAGGCTTTATGCCACTCTAATACTGTGTACGAAAATAATCGTAAGTGGCATATAAGTTGCCTCCTCACAATTTTGGTTTAAAATAACATAGTAAAATTTGTGGTTGTACACATTTGTGAAAAATATATGCTGAAATTAGTTTATCAGCTATCAGCTATCCCAAGAATTGATTGTTCGTTCCCGAATTCGCATGGCCGTTTGAGTTGTAACCCTTTCCATTTCTTCTAAACAGCAGTACAAACAATCTGTTTCCAGGGTTATGCGTTGACCTACAAAACCTTTTAGTGGTGGGGGATGGGAGACTATCTTGTATGTACTCTACTCCTGTGGGTACTCAACGCACAGTTCTGAGTATAGAAATGTTGCATCTGAATATACAGGAAGTTGTTACCTCATAAGTTTTAAAGTCAGACTCCCTTTCAAAGGTCGGGCGCTTCTTCTCAAACTCAAACTGAGCTTACACATGGATATGTGCTTACTTACCACCTCTCCTGTTAGTTATTTGTTTTGTGTATACTTAGTTGACATGAGAAAGAAAGTGTTTTGAATTTGTATCTAAGTAAAAATACTACTGTATCAAATAAACTTCACAGATTTATAGATCAACAAATTGTGTAATTTGTGGCCATGTATTAGTATATAGATCTCTGATAACCTCATTAGCTCTGCTATACTATCATCTGTAATAAAACTGTGCTACATGTCGTTGAGGAAATATACACTGTAACAACTAGCATTTTTCTTGGAAGGTCCCATATGTGATGAGTAAGAAATACGCCCCTACGCGCTTGCAACTGTGCAATTAAAATCGAGTAATTCAAGCCCTTAATAGTTAAACTAGAGAACTTCAAAAAGGAATGTTTATACTATTTAGAAGCATGTTATTCACTAGCCTATACCTTTCTCCGTATCATTGTTGCGATTCGTAAGCAATTTTCATCATCATCATCTCCTCCCCCACCTCCTCCTTCTTGAATGCATGCTATTCCTGAAGTGCGCAATCAATGGATTAATGGGCAGTTGTGTGAATGGTGAAGTGCATTAAGCTAACAGTGTGTTCTCTCTTGTCAGGGTTCAGCCAAGCTCGAGAAGGCGGAGATCCTACAAATGACGGTTGATCATTTGAAGCTGCTACATCAGAAAGGTATGGGAAAAACAAATGCTGTCCGCGCTATCTGCTACAGATCTGTGTGTCCGGCGATCAAATAGTGTTTGTTTTGGCGCCGGGTCAAACATAACAGCGGCAGTCGGCGTTTAGCGACGAATGCTTTCTGTGTTTGCACCATTATCAAACGAGCAAAACCTGTCGTCTGCGTGAATCTGTTGATTTGGCGGGAAAATGTAGCTGACGCGAATCGCCCCGTGTTTGGAATGCAGACGACATGCAGAAATACAAACTGCAATTTTAATGATTCGTTTTCTTCGTTTGATCAACTGGGCGAAGGACTTGCGTGTTACATGTTAGAAATTGCTGGGGTCTGTGGATTGTGTCCCAGATAGAGACAATCAGATAACAGCTTGTCTGGATGGCAAGCGTAGCTTAATCAAGCTGTACATTAATCTGCCTATCCTCTATGTATCTCCAGTCATCGAGGCTTGTGGCGACACATTTTTCTCACAGAACTAACTAAAATGCATATTCATCATATCCTCCAGATTAAATTGCAATTAGTGAATATATGTTACCTGTATGCGAGGTGCATCAATGGATAGATCTTATTTCGTTCATATTTGTTTTGTCTCTGGTACTGACTTAATTATTTGACAATCTAAATGTTTTATATTTTTAGGAATAAACACATACAATTTCGATCCGCATGCTGTGGCTATGGATTATCGGAGTGTTGGCTTCCGTGAATGTGCGGCCGAAGTTGCGCGTTACATGGTGGCTGTAGAGGGTATGGACCTACAGGACCCTCTTCGTTTGCGCCTGCTGAGTCACCTTCAATGTTATTCCGCCCAGAGAGAAGCCGCAGCCAAAGCTTCACTTCAGAATTCTTCTTGGAGTTCCATGACTCCGCATTCTGGCTTCAACTCTCAGTACGGCAGTGCTACCATGTCAGGCATGAGTGGAATGATTACATCACAGCATGTTGGTCAATCGGAACATCTTTCCTCTATGTCTGCACACTCGGGACACTCCGGAGTTTCATCGTCAGTGTCGTTCAGCGAATCTCGTCTCAGTCAGTCTGACAGCGCCGCTTCTATTCATGGACATATGCGGCTTCCGACTGCCGGTGTTGGTGGGCAGGTCCCTTCAATGAACTCTTCGACATCACAGGTTTCTCAAATCTCACCCCCGCTCCTCTCATCTCTACCCCAGCTTCACAACCAGTTCCCAGTGTCGCTCAACGTGAACTCAGTGTCGTCCATGATGTCGCCAAACTCAGGCCCTATCTACAACCCTGCCTCTTCCGCCAACCAGCACTCCCATTCTGTCAAACCATACCGACCATGGGGCGCTGAACTTGCCTACTAACCAATGTACGAATTACATCTAAATGGGACAAATGCAATATATTTATTTGTATATTTTGTACAAGATAGTTTTACATTATTTTATATACTTCATGCATGGTGAAAAACTATATGCTATGCAAGTGACATTTGGATATTACAGTGAAGATGTTATATATTGTGCCTATCGACTTCGCTTGTTCCAAACTGTGTCAGTGACCAGTGTTCAAAGGAACCAGTGGTACATGTGCCTGTCCAAAAAACCTGGGTAGGTTCACCAAGTTTCATGTACTTGGTACTGTGTGGAACACTGTAAATATTAGTAAGCTATGCAAACCTGACTATGCAACATATCAGATATTTATATAGAAAACTGACAGTTATTTACATTTTATTTATTTCTATACTTGGAGTGCTTTTATTTTTAAATATTTGTGTGTGCATATTGACTAAATGTTTGCTCAGAGACTCACCATTTATGTCTTCCACAATACGAATGGCCTGATTTTTGTAATTTAGACCATGTTGTCTCTGTGTCATTCTTTCCTGGTCTGCGATGCAATAAAAGCGTTGGTTGTTATACAATGTTACAATTATTTTCTTAGTTGCAAATGTTAACATTTTTAAAGTGACCATTACCGTACACTTACAATGCAAGAATTCACACCACATGGAAGTATGCGAAAAGCTCATGATCTTATTGCCTTGGTCAAGGGGTCTTTATACATTTGATCTCCCAAAGGACTAGCCCTGTAGATTACATTTTAAGGAATGTAATACGGTATGACCAGAATCCTTGTTATTTCATGCACATTAGGTAGAAGTAAGTACAATGAGCAATTATCTAAAAGGTGACGAAAAGATGTAGGAAACTTAACCCTGTTCATAGTTCTAAGAATTCTTTTCTTAAAGCAGAATCGATTGTACAACCAGCCATACATTAGTACGGGTACGTATTATTTGGCCATTGCTCAGACAGTCATTGTTTAGCACTGTCAAGTACACAAGGGACGTTTCTGTTTTTGTGCTCTTTGCCTCAGTAACATTTCTCTTACTTGACCAATTTCACTCTGTACTACGGTCCTACGGTTTTCCGGGTATGATTTGAATGTGTTACAACAACGAAATATTGTTAACAGGTGTTACAAAGCTGAACTGGCCTTCACATCACTTGAGCAAAAGCTTACGAAACCTCCGGTTCTTGCTTTTTATATTCCTCTCGTCCATTCATACTCATCGCTGATGCTTCCAATACTTCAGTCGGGTACATCTTAGGCCATAAGGTTAATATTTAACGCCATATCGGCAATATTTCAGCCATATCTTGACGAGAATAAACCTGACATTAATAGAAATACGTCAGTACAATAACACATGTCGTCAATGTACAGTAAAACAACTAAACTATCACACATAGATCTAGAATTAAAACTAGCATGTAAAGTTAAAATAACAGCTCTATTCATGACAATATGAAAACGGCCGATAGATCGCCAACAACTGAAGGTGGATCACCATACTAGTGACCATGGGGACTTCCAGTACCTTTACTATCAGCATGGGCCGTGGCTGTATTTACACCATCCCTTCTTTGTATTTAGATTTAGCAATCACTTTAAAAAACAAATATACTACGATAAATAGTTTGGTAGTTCACACTTTACTTTGAATGTTTTAGGACTTACGTACCCTCTCAGGAGGGCAATGTACAGTACTTTAATCCCCATTGAGGACAAAGCCCCTAACAATCTCAGTTGTTAATTTAATCTGTGATGGAAAAATCAATACAGTCAAGCAGCAAATCTCGACCGTGATTCTTTCCTCACAAAGCATGAAATACGGGTGATCCTCACCTTGTAAAACATACTTGTGTATATCTTGAATGGCCAATTCACATCTTAAAATCTGGACTGACAGCCCAAACAGGTGTAACCAATAGTTGGTTTTGTTGCATGTAATCTTTTTGGCATTAGATCCCGTATGTAGCTTCTAATAAGTCACTGTAAGGTATCAGAAGTGGTGTCACGGATTTTTGAGCGCTGCCTTTGGGACCGTTCATTATTTATGGCTAGAGGGTGTGATGGTGATTTTAGGGGTGGGGTGGGGGTGTCATCACTTTTGTACACCTGTACTACGGGATGGGTCAGCAATTTTGTACATGGCATGCAGGGGGTTCACTTTCTTTGAACAAAAGTTCTATGCACATTTTAGTTGTGCTTCTCCATAAAGGTCACCATCACCTCCCCCCGGTCCCTAAGGAGCAGAATCAGCCACTGTGTTACCCAATATTCCAACATGGCTGGATAACCAAAATAAGACGATGTCATGTTAGCCAGTAGATCATTTTGTTATTCGGCAAGATCATTTTGTTATTCGAGAAAAGTGGATGTTTATTTGACATGTTTTAATGGCATATAGGCAAGAAAGAGTTTATTATTTATCATTTATATTTAAACTGTTTATCGATATGTTAAAAGCAGATAAAATGGCGTTTGCTTCGGCTGTGAAAATGGAACTGTTGTCTGGTAATCTTGAAGAAATTGTTCTGGATCCAATGATAATAGCACTAGCAACTGCGCCATCATCCTTGGATCCATATTTTAGCCTTTTTTAAATTCCACCTTGATGATGGAGGAACATCAAATGGGGTCACATGATTTTGTGTTGTTGGTAAATGGTCATTTTAACAGAGGTCGCCAGGGACTGGCCAATTACATCACTCCGTAGGCTGGAGTCTGTAATTGACAAACCAAGAGCTGAATACTTTCCTATGCAAGGATGTAAATATGTGTTTCAACCATCATTATAAATGCATAAATTATTATTTGAAATGAAATCATCAAGTATTTTACCTTTAGTGTTTGTGGTTGTACCACCCCATAGCGGGTTGTTGCCATTTTAATCACCCAGTGGCACCCCATTAGTCATACGACCCATTAGTTATACGCCTTAATAAACACATGGCATGGCTGATTGCTCTTACATATGAACCCTTAGTACGTCTGTTGGTGATGGAATGACTTATGATGTCAGATGCAGATTCAGATTCTTTAGTCAGTGAAAACTTGGGCTATATGCCCCTCGTCATCATTTTGCAGTGTATACAGGATAGGATATGGTTATCCGGTTACAATTGGTTTCTTTAAAAATAGGGTTTAATAGTTGTTTGAAATTAAAACGAAATGATATTCATCTCCAATTACATTTACATTATTTTCTTTACAGTAGATACAATATCTTTTCTCCCTATCACTATTTTCATAATGACCACCTTCATTTTCTTTGTTTATGACGTGAAATTTGAAATGCCTAACAGTGTTTTTTGATAGATAGCATCTAAGTATAATTCATATCCAAATTCACATATGATATTACTGTATAGCCATAATTTACTACTTGAAGTAATGTCATGGTACCATTTCTGAATAAACAATCAATTGAACGTTGCTTAAAAAGACAACAAAAGGTACTAGCGTCAACACATTCTGGGTCGCACCATACATTTCCAAAACCATTTATAGATAAAACATTTTTAACTTTTAACACCCAGTTTTTGACGACATTATTACAGGAAAACCAAGTTCTATGGAGAGTCAACTGATTTATTGCAATGAGTGCGACGTTTCAGTGTAGGTACTAACACTGTTATCACGCAAGTTGCTTGATAACGGTGTTAGTACCTACACCGAAACGTCGCACTCATTGCAATAAAGAAGTTGACTATCAATAGAACTTATAATTAGTTTTACTTCACCTATACAACTTCTAAAATGCCTCTCAAAGACGACATTGTTATAACGAGATAACAACCATTCATAGGTTAATATAAGTATACAATTTGATGTACTTTGCAGTTTGAACTGTATATAAAAACAATTACCTGTATATGTTATTATATTACCTAGGTGCATGTAGTTAAATTCATCTTCGAGTAACAGTTACGATTCTCCCATCTTAGGTATATACTAAGCAGTAAAAGAAACGTCAGTTTGGAATTTTCCTTCCTAGAAACGGATAACTGTAAACTCATTTAATGTTTTGATTGTATATTTTTTACAACATCTCCAACTTTACCTGAGCAAAGACATTCCTTCCCAAACAAGATGGTACGGTGTTTTTCATGCAACTCATGCTGCACGTGCTGTTCACAAGGACCAGCCCTATAAAATGCACCCCCAAACCTGGTTGAAATGTTCACATTACAACGTCAGCAGGATGCCGCGACTCACGACAGCTCAGAGGAACGAGGCACTAGGAAGACTTGAAGCTGGCCACACTGCACAAGCCGTTGCCAATCACTTCCAGGTCAACGTTCGGACCATCTACAGGCTGCAGCAACGTTTCCGGGCCACCAACACAACAAATGATCGCCCTCGTACTGGCAGACCAAGGGTGACCACAAGACAAGACCGCCATGTTGTGTGACAGCATGTACAGAATCCCTTCATGCAGGCATCCGAAACAGCACGCCAGACAGTGGGAACACACGGGAGACCAATCAGTACTGATACAGTACGCCGACGTCTTGACAGCGGGAACCTCCATTGCCGTAGACCTTACCGTGGACCTATCCTCACCCCTCGTCATCGGCGTGAACGTCTACAGTTTGCCCTACAACATCAAAACTGGCGATACAGGCAATGGAGAATTGTTCTGTTCACAGATGAGAGTCGGTACTGCGTATCAACTGCAGATGGCAGAACAAGAATATGGCGACGGCGTGGCCAGCGTTACTCAGACCAATGTGCTATGGAAAGAGACTCATGGGGAGGTGCAAGCATCATGGTATGGGGTGGAATAGGCCTGAACCAGAGAGTGGGCCCTGTGGTGTTCAAGAACCTTGGTCCAGGGAGAGGAGGCGGCATTACAGCGGTGCGCTACACCGACCAAGCTCTCAGACCCTACGTCATACCACATTTCGCACGTCACCGGAACAACATTTTCCAGCATGATAACGCCCGGGCCCATACTGCCAGAGCTACACTGGACTTCCTACAGCAGGACGGTGTCAACATTATGCAGTGGCCAGCCCTTAGTCCTGATTTAAACCCAACTGAACATCTTTGGGATGAAATTCAGAAAGACTGAATAATGTCATACCAAGGCCGAACACAGCCGATTTCTTGCGCCAGGCCTTTCTCAGAGTGTGGTTCCAGGTGCCAATGGCCTTCATCAATCGATTGGTGCACTCATGCATAGACACTGGGCTGCAGTTATTGACGCTCGTGGCGGTCACACTAGATACTGAAGAGTCTGAATGGACTGCAAATGTTCACGTAATGTCTTGAAATTCTGCTGAGTTATTCATTGATGTGTCAAGATATTGATATCAAGATCAAGATATTTTTGATCCGCTTATTATGTCAATTTCTGTAATGATTTGATTACAGCGCCTATGTCTTTGAATTCGTACTGACGTTTTATTTTGCCGCTGAGTATATATGTAGTTATTCTCAAACAATCTACAACATGAGTAAACTGTAGAGTATTTCGTTAAATCTGCATAATAGTTTATTTCGAATCGGAAATGGAATTATATTCCTACCCCGCTTTTCTTAGAACATGTTCAAAACAATCGGT